AAAGTACAGCTGGTGCCAGAGCTATTTCCAGATAAGGCCCCTCAGGTTTGGATTTTCAGGAATTCTGGGCAAAGTTCAGTCTCAGTTTTCTGCACCTTTGGCAATTAGCTAGCCAACAGTTGTTTCCTTAAGCATGCTCCAAAAAACAAAATGAAAAATAAAAATGTCCCTTTTAAAATTAATAAAATCTGCAATTATCATATTACCTCAGGGAGGGAGGTCTGGTGGTACTTAACAGAGCTCTTTGGGGCTCTTGTGCATTTTAATTGAGTGAATAATTGTAAAACACTTCAGGGTCTTTTGGTAAAAGGCTCTGTATAAACATTGCCATAATGCTGAATAATCAGGTTGTGATGTGAACTGGAAGAAATGAACCCTATAAATAGATGTGTATATACATATATTGTCTGTGTGTGTGTATACACCAACATTTGGGACAGAACAATGCAGTTCCTTGAGAAAAATCCTGCAGCTCTTGAATAAGAAATAAAAAGTGAGATTGGATAGTGATAATCATAATAATCAAAATGTTTTTAAGATATGATGAGCCTGTAGTTGATCCTCCTGTGCAATGGATAGAGAATTCCCAGAATCACTGTGTTACCCCTTCAGTGATGCTTGTTGGGAAACAGAAAAATCTGTTGAGTTGATGGTGGAGGAGCTCAGAGGAGGTGGACCCTCAGAGGAGGTTCTGAGACGTAGACAGCCAGGATTTGGAGGAACCAAAGGAGTTCCACTGTTCCTGAGGTGGTGCTGCAATGCAGCTGGAGGGGTTTGGGTCTCCTGCAGCTCAAGGCCCCTCCAGGTGTATTTCAGATGGAGCAGTGGGAAGGACAGTGATGGGATCATCCCACCAGCCTGAGCAGTGGCACCGGTGCTGGATGTGAGGCTGGACCCGTGCCCTGCCCGGATCAGCATCATCTCTCCTCAGTGCTCTGGCTGTCTCATCTCCTCAGCCTGAAATTTCCTGGGTTTGTACCCTCCTGTCATTCAGCCCCTGAGGAAGGGGAATTCCTCTGAAATGGAGATGAGCTTTTATATTCTGGGAGAAAAAAAAAAAAAAAAGAAAAGAAAAGCAGCCTGTGCTGGGCAACGAGGTGCTGGTACAAAGAATCCTCTCTTCTGAAATGGGAGTTGACAGGGTGCTGATGCCACTTCACTTAGTTAATGGAAGGAGCCATCTAATACAGGCTAAATGCAGAACTGCCTAAAGGAACCTGGCATTTGGAGGGCTGGGGTGCTTGAAATATAAATGAATGGGACAAGCCCAGGCTCTGTTTCCCAAGGAATCGATTACCAGGGATCCTCTGATGACAGTGAAGGTCTTATTTGCAGGAGTAGGCAAAGCTGTTTTTGTTGGAAACTGGGATATTTGTTGCTGGGGATTAAACACATCTTTTAAGCACCAAGGAGACACCGAGGAATGCTGTGGATTCAAGAGGGGTAAAAAGACTGTAGTGATTTTCCTTGCTGTAAAGCCACTGAGGAGACTGATGGCAGTGCTGGGAACAATTTGAGTTCTGTGGAGTTGTACCCACAGGCAGAGAGGTTTGACAAAATGATCCATTGTGTATTGCATCTACAGATACAAAAATGTATGGGACACAGCATTTTAGAGTAAGAGTTAGGCTGGACTAAGGTGTACTTTCTCTTTCCAGCTGTAAAAAAAAAATAAGGATCTGTAACAGAAAATGTCTGGAGTGAAGATGGATGGAGTATAAAGACTGCTGATGAATTTTTTACCTCTGGAATGTTCTCTCATGGTGTTTATGAGCTGATTTTCCAACAGAATAAGTGTCTGAGCTACCACAGAAAGCACAAACATTCCTGTTTAGATATTACTGAAATCTTGGAGACAGGTCAAGGACTGACTTTACTGTGGAGACCCCTTTTCCTTCTCCCACCCTAAGGCAGCTCCTTCCAGGTGAGATCAGAAGCCTCTTTACAGGACAGTGGGAGGAAACTCCTGCATTTGTTTAGAGATCAAATTCCTTTCACATCACCATTCCTTTGTCATTTTTCACAAGCTCCAGGTCCACTCCAACATTGGTTTGAGCACCTCTGACATTCCCTTCCCATCCCATCTGCCAGGGATTTCATTCTTCTGATGAAACAGCTTTAAAATTGCAAAGACAGACAAAATACAGCCTAAAATCACAACAGTCAAGTGCTGTGGCTGTTACATGGAACTTTATTGGTCAAAAAAGACCGGTTGTGTATCAGAATTTCACATCAAAGATCAATCAAGTTTCCAGTGAAATACCAATTGGCACCAGTTCATGTGGGAACTTCTCTTGCATGGTGTGCCTACCCTGAAGTTTCTCTGTTTCCACCAGCTGGGTTTATTTCTGGGTTTTTACTGTTTTATTTGGGAATTACTTGGTAAAGAAGAAGCATTTCAGGAAATGTCATCATGTGCCATGTGCTGCACTGATGTCAGTTGAGGAAATCGGTGTCAGGAGCAGGAAAAGCCAGAAGATGAATGGAGCTATGAGTTCTAAATAGGAAACAGCTTGAAGTTCCTTTTTTGGGGGAAACATAAAGCTAATTTATCAGCAATAACACAATTTCACCTCTGTCACAGAGGGAGGACTCTGCCCTCCTGCTGATGGACAGACACACCTCACATCCACGCTAATGATCCTGGGAATGCAGGGATGCAAAGGAACAGCCCCAAAACACGGACAGGTTTGCCTGGTGAGCTGTTCTCATGATCTGTGTGTGGCTGAGAGGTGTTCACACGGAAATCTGCATTGATTGTGTTCCTCAATGGATTTCCTTCCCTGTGTGTCTCCTTGTCTCACCCCAGTGGATATCAGAGTGCCAGTGAGAGCAGGATCTTGCCTGGATGATGCAGTATTCATTTATTCACACTTTGATATGAGGGCCGTGTCTGATCAAGCCCTCATCAGGATTTAGCAGCCAGATATATCTGGGTTTCTTTGTTTTTTCCTGCCGTTTGGCAGGAATGTGCACCCATCTACCTGTTCACTGTCACGTACACAGAATTTTGTGAGGTTTCTTCCCAGACACACTGAGAGTAGGGCAGAAGTCTGTGGTGTGCTATTAAGAGCATCTCCAATTGCTCAATATAAAATGGTCAGTAGTTTTCCAAGTGCCTTTATTTTCTGTTCCATTACTCTGAGTACCTTCCCTGTCCTCCTTTGGGGCCCAGCTAACAGCCTGGCTCCTACCTCCTGCTATTCTGAAATTTCTTTATTTATCTTAGACTCTGTAATTTTTCTGAAACATTGATATTTTCCAGCAATCAACTTATTACATGGAGATGCCTATTAGCTTTCTGAAGTCATATGTCAGTGAAACTCAAAACTGTTTAGTTTAACTTGACAAGCCCTATAGTGATATTGGAAAATTATTTTCTTCTTCAGACTCATGTTTATGTTCTTTTCCAATGAGCTGGCTGTTTTATTGCAAAAGAAACTGTAAAAGAGGTAATTTTAACTAGGCACAAAATATATTCTGTTCTGTAATGTATCCATAACCTTCTAGAAGATCCTAATTAACTTCCTTATGTCAGCATAGGAAGCTCTATTGCGTTTGTAGTTGCCAAACATTTCTTTCTTTTTAATAGAAATTTTCCCTTTCTAAGACCTGCGGGCATCATCACTCCCAAAACAAGCTTTTCATTTGAGGGTATCAGAAACACCAGGAGATTAATAGAAGTCTGAAGTTCAGCAGTGCAGAATTTCTGTTATTTCTATCTGTTTTCTTGCTTGTCTGCAAAGATAACAATCCTAATAACACATGGGTGGCACAAAGCAGTCAGTGAGTAAAGTGAAATTGCCAGGTTGGTTCCTGAGCTGCTGAAATGTTGAGTTATTGCTGGACCAGGGAGTGACAAAGGTATCAAGTCTGAGGGGAAAAGCTGCTTTACAAGGTGTTTGTGACAAAGATTCAATGTGAGATATTTGGGAAAATTGCTCCCTGTGAAGGTGGGGAGGTCCTGGCACAGGGTGCCCAGAGAAGCTGTGGATGGAGCAGGCACAGCAAGTGTCCAAGGCCTGGCTGATGGGGCTTGGAGCACCCAAGGTGTCCCTGCAGGTGGAATGAAATGGTCTTCAGGTCCTTTTCCACCCCAAAGCGTTCCATGGCTGCGATTCCTTGCCAGCACAGAGCAGGCACGGCGGCCCTTCGGTCGCGGCGCTGTCGGCCAGGCCTGCGTGTCGCGTGCTCATCCCTTGAGGATGCTGCAAACAGTCGCCAGCAGAAGTGGAATTCAGTTCTGCCAGAGGAAAACACCAGTGATCTGCTGAGATTTGTACTGCATGGGGTTGTTTTGTGTGCCTGGGTGTTGTGCAAAAGGAACGGGAGCTGCACAGCGGGGCCGAGACCTGCACTCAGCAGCGGGAATTCCAAACAGGAGCACAATATCCTTACAGTCCTGCTGATCTAAAATAAAAACTGTCTTTGCTTAAATCATGCAGTTCCCAAGCTCAGCTTTGATGAATTGCAGAAGCAGGCTCTTATCAAGTAACAGTGGGGTTTTTTTTCTTTTATTCTTTTTTTTTTCCTGAAAAGAGCAGAAAGTTTGCCATTCTGCAGAGCAAGATGAATGAGTTTGCTATTTGAGGCCGAATTTTCCAAGAAGGATTAGGATATTTTGCAGTCCTGCAAACGCAGGATACTGCTTGCAAACCCAGCATTTCTTTAGGCTCACAATCATAATTTGCATTAAAACTCCATATGCAAAAGAAGGAGAAGGAATTTCAAATGTGAACACTTCCAGTCCTTAACAGCAGCTACAGATTGAAGTGAAAAAGTGAAAATTCCCTCACTCATAGTCAGAATTCATTAATTGTATTAATGGCTTGGGCTCAATTTCTCAGTGGATTTCTGTATGACAATTCTGTGTGATAAAAACTGAGCACAATCTTCAGTTTAAGGCACAGATGTGCCAAAATGTCACCAATGTGACAGAAGAGAGAGGTTTCCATCTCATATAACAACCTTCCTTTTGTCTCCATGTGGTTTTTCTCCAGCTATCCATTCCCCATGGTCTTCAGTAGCTGCAGTAGAAAGGACCTGGAAAACAGCCTGGAGAAAGGAGTGGGAATGTGCCTTTTTAACCTGCCTGAAGTCAAGGAGTCCTTTGGTGGCCAGAAGTGTGGGAATGGCTATGTGGAAGATGGAGAGGAGTGTGACTGTGGGGAGCCTGAGGTAAGACACCACCTGGGAGTCACTGTTCATGTCCTGCCTGCAGGTTTTCGACAGTGGAGGGTTGGTTTGGTGTGTTGGGTGTAAAACAGGACTCTCCCTTCTCTGCTTCCATGCCATCAGCTTAAACCTCAGAGTCTCAGCAGTGCAGGGAGTCTTGAGCATATTCAAGTTGCCGAAGTTCAGGCAGGGCTTGGGTTAAGAATGTGCTCAGTTCATCCTTAGAGAGCAAACTCTGCCTTGTCCAGCAGACTGGCCATGACCTCGTGTTCCTAGAAGTTCCTTCCAGCATTAGCTAATCAGTTAAACTTAAAAGAAGTTTGAGAACTTGGCAATTTTCTCAAGAAAACGTGAGTTAGTTGAAGGTTTGTTTCTGACAATGAGAATATATTCGTATATTTATATTTATGTTTTTATTTATTTATGTTATGTTTATATAACCATAGAAACTGTGCAATCATAGAATGGTTTGGGTTGGGAGGGACCATAATTTCATTCCACCACTGCCATGGACAGGGAAACCTTCCACTGTCCCAGGCTGCTCCAAACCCTGTCCATCCTGGCCTTGGGCACTTCCAGGGATCCAGGGGCAGCCACAGCTGCACTGGGCACCTGTGCCAGGGCCTCACTATCCATATATACAACACTACATAAATAGAAATATTAATATTGGCTAGGTATTTTTCATTGCAGCTTCAGTTTTTAGGTACAAGACCTTTCCCTCCTTCACTGTTGGATTTTTTTTCCCCTCTAGCCAATTACGTCCCAACAGAAATAGCCTTCACTGCCTCCCAAACAGACTGCTGCTGCTTCAAAGATTGCTCCATTTAGTTTAGTGAATGTGTCAGAGGACTCCTCAGATCAGCAGGAGATAGGCAAAACCTGGGAGTCAAATAATATCCAAGCTGGCATCCTTATCCCTTTTACATCCCATCCTCATTGGCTTTATAGAGCTTCTCTCTGATTATCTGAATTAAAGGCAGCAGCAGATCAGGGATTTGTTTCCTGTGATAAATAGGGACCTACAGACAAAAGAGATGAGGGCAGTTAAAACAGCAAGATATTGCTGCATCCTGCCTATGGAGTGTATTGGATTTGTCCAAGCAGTGAGGTTTTCCTGACAGTTCACTCACCCTTGAAGGTAACAAGGTTGGAGGAATCAACCTTATCTCCTTGTTTAAAGTCAATAGAGTGCAAGCAGCTTGCAAATGTCTTTCTAACCCAGTTATCTTTCTTGTTTTCATTTCTGAAGTTAGTGATACCTTTTCAAGTCAAAGGCACTTAATGTCAGCAAGCACTGGCTTGATTTGCCTCTTCTTTCTGTCTTTTTGCCTTTTTAGTTGTATTGGAAAAAACTGCAGCTTGGGTGCAATTAAATTTATTTGGGATTTACTACTCTAATCTGAGTGGTTCCAGAAAACCTGTGTGACTAGTTACTAATTCACTGCCTAGTCATTTATACCGGCTGAGTTCTGTCCATGGTGTTGCAGTACCCCAAGAATGAGTGATATTAGGATTAAATTCTTCTGGGAGGGTGGGGAAGCACAGGGTGCCCAGAGCAGCTGGGGCTGCCCCTGGATCCCTGGCAGTGCCCAAGGCCAGGCTGGACATTGGGGCTGGAGCAGCTGGGACAGGGGAAGGTGTCCCTGCCACGGCTGGGGTGGCACTGGATGATTTTCAGTCTCTTCAAGCTCAAACCATTCCATGATTTTATGATCAATTTTAGATTATATGACTAAAAATGCCTGATGTGCTGCAGTGTCTGTAGAAGGAGGGTTAATGTAGATTATAGATGTAAAGATAAAAGAATGAAGAGAAGTAAAAACCCTCGGTCTGTGAAAGATGAAAATGTATCTTTTAGAAGCAGCTGCAAGGGGGAAAGGAAAACTACAAATTGCTAACTCAGAAGTCAGACAAATTACTTCCAAATGTAATTAGGAGCGAGTGCCCAAACAGCTGTGACATGCCAGGGACGAGTCAACACGGCTTTTGTGCCAGGAACTCCTGTCTTAGAAAATCTTGTCTTACAAAATCTTGTCTTACAAATCCAACTGTGCTCTGAAGGGCTTAACAAGTGGATGGGAAGGGACAGGGCTGTCACTGCAACCTGTGAGGAGCTCAGAGAGGCTTTGGACCAAAGCTTCTCTGGGAGATTGAGCAGCTGTAAAGGAGAGAAAACTGCATGGGCAAAAATGGGGTTAAAAGATAGGAAATACAACCAGGTGTAAATCATCCATGCAGTGGAAGGAGATCTGCTGTGCTGTATCCAGGAGATGTGTCCTGGGGACTACACAACTCAGCATTTTCATAAACAGCCTGGGAAGAGGAATAATCTTTAATTTGCTGATGATATTAGTTAGGCTGCTAGAGATGAAAACTGGCTGTGAAGGACTGCAGAGAAACCTTCTGAGGCAGCTGGAACAGGCATTAAGATGAGAAATGGGACTCACTGAGGAGTGATGCACATTCCAAAAACACAAAGAAGATGATGGGCTCTGAGCTGACTCTGACCATGGAGGAACAAGACTTCATATTGCAATAAATAGTCTCATGAAAATGTCAGCCCAGTGCTCAGGAGTGGTCTAAAAGGTAAATAGGCTGTTAGAAAGTACTAGGGGAGAAATAGGAAAACAAAACAAAGCACCAGCAGACCTCTATAAATCTGCTGTGCCTGAAACTGCTTGTGCAGGTTTTCCCTACCCCTCCCTGATCCCAGGGAGGATAAAGCAGAGTGAAAAAAGATTGAGAGAAAAACAAATAAGGTGATTCAAAGTTTCAAAAGGGCTCTGGCTGGAAGAGAAGAAAATGAAGGAAAATGCAGCATAAGCTGATAAAATTGTGAGGGGAATGGGAAGGGTGAGTGAGGAGAGATTGTCTCCCATGAGAAATGAGCAGATGAAGTTAGAAAATGGCAGGTTTCAAACAAGCAGAAAGAGCTGCTCCCCTGACTGTGTTGCGAGTTTCTTTACCCTGAGTCTTACAGCTGCTAAAAATGCCCGTGGAGCCAAGGGGAAGCCAAGGAGAAGGCAGGAGCTTGGGAAGGTGCCAGTGTCCTTAAACATCTTCTGCTGGCTGCTCTCCGGGGGACACAAGGACAGAAGAGTTTTGGGCTGACCCAGTGGGGTCTGTCTTGTGTTCTTAGAAAAGAGAGGGTGAAAACCAGGTGTCCTGTCCACAGGACAGAGCCTGACATCATGTAGGCACTGCTGGAATTGTTCTGGGGTTGGGCTCCTCAGGTTTCTTTGAAGAGCTAGGAGAGCCACACTGAGAAACCTCCTCCCATCATTGCTGTTGTTATCAATAATAACTAATAATAATAATAATAATGATAACAACAAACTCCAGCACAGCAGTAATTTCAGGTGGCAGTCTCCATCCTCCAAAAGCCTGCTGAGCCTTTCTTGGTTTTTTTGCTTGTTTATGTTAAAATCATTCCTGACAATTTGATAGCCCAGGCACAAAAACTATTTACCAAGCTCATTCCCTGCAATGAGCAGTAAGTGAGGCAGCAATTGGAAATTTCAGAAGCTGCTGAAACACCACTCCAGGAGCTGCGTCTTTATCCCAGTCTGCCTGTGGAATGCTGAATGAGGATGGGGTAGTGCAGCTGACTGTTTCAGAAGGACCTTCATGGGACTGACACTCAGCTCTGCTTATCTCAGATTATTTTTGAGGTGAATTTATAAAACATGTGTCTGTGCAGGGAATGTTACTCCTGACGTGCAGCAGCTGCACAGAAATATTTCTGCAGCCTGCCGCCTTCCGGTGATCAAAAATAGGAGCAGGAAGTTGTTCCTCTGCTTCAGAGCACAGTTGGCTTTGGCATATCCAGGAAGATACTACCTAAAAAAGAGTGAAATGCTGAGAATCCTTCTGGTTTTTGCTGGTGAGTCAGTGCCAGCCCTGAGAAGTTGAGAAGCTTTCAGAAGCCAGTGAAGTAACAAGAGGCTGTGGACATAGCTCTAACCCCTCATTCTTCCTGAGTTCCCTGTATTGGGAGTGATCCCTTGCTAAATCAAACAGACTTAACACAGCTGAAGAGCAATTTTATCTGCTGCTGTTTCTGTGAGAGAGATGAGATTCCAGCTCAGCTGGTGTAACTTGCAGCTTGTGGGCATAATCCTGGAAAAACAAATCCATTCTTTTCTGAGGCTCCTTACGAGCTCGTTCTACTGACAATAAAGTTTGCAGGAGCCCACACACGGCACCATCTAATCCACAAGTGTGAAATTGGGATGTATCACTGAGTGAGGCTGCAATTCATGCTCATTCCATATCTCAGAGCTCTCTTACTGGTGTACTCTGATAAGGGATTACATGGAATCGTGTCATTGTCTTCCTCTGTGGCAGCCCCAGCCTCCATCCAAACAGGAGCCTGGCCAGCAGCTATCACAAAATAGAGCTGTAGTCCTGATGCTCAGCAACTGCAGCACAGCTCCTGGATCCTCTCTGGAGGCAATGGAAACATTCCAGTGATTCCTGTGGAAATAAAACACTCCAGTGCTCTGTCAGGATCGGTGTCAGCGCGTTCGGGTTGTTTGTGATATTTGGGTTTAGATCCATAGCTGGAATAAACCAGCCCCCCTCAGCAGCTTCTCTGGTTTTACTACACTTCCTGGGCTTGTTGAATCTGAGGGCAGACAAGGCTGTTTGGATCAGGTTGTCGAATTTCATGCATAATTCATGGTTTCGTGCCCAGCTTTTCTTGGCAGAGCTATAGGCAGCCTCTTGATTTACGGCTCATTGTGACCAAATGTTGTCTGCTCTAAATTTCCTCTCCAAATTCATCCAGGAATGTACAAACCGGTGCTGTAACGCAACCACCTGTGCCTTGAAGCCGGGAGCAGTGTGTGCACATGGGCTCTGCTGCGAGGACTGCCAGGTGAACCACGGGAAATGGCTCTTTGCAAGGTGGGGAGGGCAGAATTCTGCGGGTTTTTCCCTGCTTCGGTGCAGTAAACAAGGATTTAGGACAAGTAAACTGGTGTTGATAAGCGTTAAGATACTTGCGTGTCATGTGAGCAATTAAAAAATTCCCAAAATATAAATTATTGAAGGAGCAGATCAACAGATTTTTAAATTTGTCTCTGTGCTTTTTGTGGCCCCTTCAGCTGCTCAAGGAAAACTTCTTTTTCATGAACTTTTGGTGCTTAAATTTTTCTCATTCTTACATGGCAAGCAGTCATTAAATGCTGAACCCTCTTTTTTTGGGGAAGGCTCTTAAATTATTAATTCTGTCAACAGCATATGTATTTTTAATAGCAGATCATCAGCTGCTGTGGTCTCCTAACACTCTGTAAAGGCCATTTTGCCACAGGCATTTACCTGCTTGAATTCTCAGACCCTCCCTTGCCCATAGGCTAATAAAGCATCCAGTAAGTTGCCATCCTGTCAAACCAAGTGCTTGGAGCAGGGATCCCCACAGCCAGAAATTGCTTTTTAGCAAAATCAATTTTCATGTCCTTTGCTTTTTACCAAAGGCAATGTGATTAAAATTCAAGGCTGCTCCAGAGCACACCCAACTTTTGTGGCTGCTGTTGAGATGTGAATGTTCAGACTGGCAAGTTCCACCATCAGTCCCAAAAAAAATATCATTTTCCATGGAAATCAGTACAGGACAGAACAGTTACATGGACTAGACTTGTAATTAAGTTTGAGGAGATCTTGATGCCCATCACAACAACATTTCCATGAGGAAATGTAACTCCATAGATTCATTAAGGTATGAGACCTATTCAAGATCATCCAATTGAACCTTCCAACCTGGGAATTGTTGGGCACCTGAATCCACAATCAAGTGGGCTGGTGGCTTCCTGAGCCCCAACACAGCACAGTGCTCTGTGATCAGCTGCCCAGGATGGAAAGGTGTCTGATCTGGCTTTTTCCCAGTGCTCCAGATCCTCCTTCCCAGAGTTTTTGTGTTCAGACACCATGGGGGAGCCACACTGCAAACATCAAGGGGCTGGGGTTGCCTCGTGTCTTGAGCCACATGAGCCGTGTGTGCAGCTTCACCCGACCCTCCCAGCACGGCTCAGCTCAGTGCCTCCGGAGCTCTGGAATCCCTGCCCTGTCCTCTGCATCAGCTGGGGCCAAGCCAGCCGAGAAATCTGTCCCTGTGCTGCATGGCTGACCCGTGCTCGGCACGGCCCTTGAGGTTCTGTTTGTTTTGCAGCTCAAAGCAGCGGGGATTTCTTGCAGAGAATCCAGCAATTCCTGCGATCTGCCCGAGTTCTGCACGGGGGCCAGCCCGCAGTGCCCGGCCAACGTTTACCTGCACGACGGGCACGCGTGCCATGGTGTGGATGGCTACTGCTACAACGGCATCTGCCAGACCCACGAGCAGCAGTGCATCACCCTCTGGGGCCCAGGTGAGAGCAGCTGGACACAGCTCTGACTGAAGCTTGGGGGGGAGTAAACATCTGAAGGATGCAGCACCAATCTGTAGCTGTTTGAATAATGAGGCGATCTCTGGGTGATTCGTTCCAGCCTTGGTTTGCTGTCGTGTTCGTTTCTCTGCAGCAGGAGGTAACGAGGCTCGTGCTGCAACACGCTGCAAATGGATAGGTGAAGTCAGACAAATCATTTCCTCCTGACTTTGATATGGCCTGATGTCACCCCACAAAGTGCTGAACGCTCCTGGCAGGTTGAAATCACAGCCCTTTTCAGGCTGCTGTGTGAGCTTCCTCCTGTGCTCTAAACAGCTCATCTGCAAAACAGATGTGTCTGCTCCATCCCCAGCCAGGGCTCAGCTTTTGACACTAACATGAGACTCCTGGATCATTGTGTGTTTTTATTAACTGTGTCACCTGGAAACTGCCTCCTGACAGTGCTTTTAGCAGGGTCTGCCCTGAGGCAGAAAGGGATTTTATTCTCCTGTGGGAATTGCTCCCTTTTTACAGAAATCTGGTAACATGACTTCTTGAGTTGTTCTCAGCATCTATCCCAGGAAAGCTGTTCACCTTTCTATAAAGCCCTGTGACCCGTCCACTGCAGTGCAAGTATTAACTCAGCATTTTGGTATGAATCCAAATCATGTCTCCTTCAGCATCTCTGACCTTCTATCTCAAATTTGTAAAACATTTACCTCTCCTAAGGAGAAGCATTACTTAGAGACAGGTGTAATTATTTCTTTTAAACTAACTTTTCCTGCCTCTTTCAATTCAGTATCTCTAACTCTGCTCCAAAACTTCTGTATCAATATAATGGCACACAGATGTTTCCCTTGGTCAAAACCCTCCCCAGAACTCTGCTGAAGAATTTATCTGTTTCCTTCCCAGAGAACATGGACTTTTTGCAATCTGTCTTTAAAAGAGCATTAAAGCATCTCAAGAACCAGCCCCAGTGGTGCAGACAGCAGGTCAGCTTGGCCACGTGGGTATAAGAACACGTTCAGGAGGAGTTCCAGTTCAAAATTAAACCCCTCACATGGAACAAAGCATGCCTCTGCTCCACTTCCCCGAATCCCACGCGCATCGTAGCGTTGATATGAGCTCATAGAGCCATGGACAATTATAGCCTCCAGTCTTAGTCAGACTGGGACTTCTAATCCCTGGATACAGAGACATTTTCTCTTGTAGAAAGCAAAAATCTCCTCCTGAACCAGTTTCCCATGCCGTGGAAAGTTACTTGGTCAGGCTGTTCGTGGTTTCAGTGTCTGAGAAAAATTCCTCTAAAGGTCAGGGAGCTGAATTGCTGCAGCTCCTTGCCAGGTCTGCTTCCTAACGCAGCAATTCCAGCAAAGCCCTGGGCTCCCCTTGTTCTTTCCTGTCTTCCTTCTTGGGACTGTTCAATGTGGGCACTGCTGTGCATGGAGGCTCCAGGGTCCAGGCTGTGGGAGTCTGTTTATGAGAAAGATGTTCTGTTTGGCTGGAATACCCTTTGGTTTTTGTTTTGGGAAGGCCCAAGGATAAGGATTTTTAAATAGGGAGGATGGCACATGACCAAACCTGAACTGAAAGTCTCAAATCTTGCCATGTTTTTGGAAGTATAAATTAAAAATAAACACAGAATCTCAGAATGGTTTGGGCTGGAAGAGAGAGAACATCTTGTTCCACACCCTGCTATGAGCAGGGATATCTTGCACTAGACCAGGTTGCTCCAAGCCCTGTCCAGCTGGCTTTGGACACTTCAAAGAATGCCTGTATTCTGGATTTAAGGACTAGGGATGTGAACATCCACTGCTCTCTCACACATCTGGCTGAAGTGTGAGCTGGCAGATGAGGGAGGGAATAGGAAGAGAGGTGAGTGGCTCATGCAGTTAGAAAAATATCATGGTACAGATTGAAAAACTACGCATCTTTCCAGCCTTGCTTGCAGCTCAGAGAGAGATTTCACATTCTAAGATGTTGTCTCTGGACTTTGTATCAAAAATATACATTGGAACCTTTTTACCAGGCTGTTGTGTCTGATTAGACCTGTTTTTAACAACTGCCTGTGTTGGAGTGAAGTAGCCTTGTGGTTTTAAAAAAAAATAAATTCTCCCCTCTACAGAAAAAAACAGATCACAATTCATTTTCATTCTCTCCTTATTTTCTTCTTCCCAGTAGGAGAAATCCATGCAGAACAAAATACAATAACTTTTCCTAAAATAATATCCAGTATATTGAATTCCTTATTAATGTCTTCCCTTGTACATCCTTCTTTATTCATCAGGTTATAGATGTCCAGAAGCCCAATGATAAATGTCAATCTTCATGTTTTTAGATCTATTTAAAGGAAAATGATGAACACTGTCAGAGCTTGTTTACATTAGGCTGAGCAGTAGGAACCTGTTTCCAGAAAAGCACTTGCATTTCCTTGGGGTTGTTTTGTTACTCTCAACACAGTGATTCAGATAAAATAGAGGAATTTTTTTTTTTCTCTTTCTTATCTGCATGGAAAGCTTGGTGGGAAGGAGAAGGGAGGAGCTCCTGAGGACAAGCTCTGAAAATAGCCATGAATTCCTCTCAGAGCCCAGGTTGATTCCAGTCTGCTCCCAGAACACCCAGAGTTCTCCATTCTCTCTCTCTCCATAATTCATGTCATTTTTATCCTTGGGGAGCAGGAACTGCTGGTGACCTTTTTTTGGTCCATATTCAAAAATATCAAATTGCACTGATCTGACCTATTGATAGCAGTGACTGAAAAATGCATCCAGAGTGATGCTTTGTGTGATGTCTGTGACTCCACTGGCATTTTCAGGAGAAACAGACACAGATAGAGCTGCTTAAGACAGAAAAATCATTGATTACCAAGGAACACAAGATTCTCAGCTTTAAACTCATGGCTTTTTCTACATTGACAAGAAAATGATTCTTTAGGGAAGTCTGTCAGTTTGTTTTCCTGTATTCCCCCAAGTGGGAAAAAAGCAATGATTTTTGGGGAGCCAATGGCAGGCATTGATTTAATAATTAGAACACATTTAAATGTGTTGCATGGACATGGTCATTCTTTTAGGCAGGAACACTGCTAATTTAGATGTCAATATTTGTTACCGTGGGAGAACTTTGCAGGTTTTGCCAGGCAGAACCCTACAGACACAAAATAAATGAGCTGCCCACCTCAGGTATCTGACCAAACCATTGCTAACTTGCTTTTGAAAAAATGCTAATTGTCCAAGCACTGCAGTTTTCTGAATTCAGTGAAATCAAACTATTTTGATCATCACAGATTTATTGCCAGGCCTTTTTCTTCTGGAGACGGGGAAGATATTAAATCATATTCTCAGGGGTGGTGACATCATCCTCCTTAAATGAAAAAAAATGCTCAACCCCATCTTGGTCTTGCCCAGACAGGGATCACCAGGATGGGGAAAGAGGCCAAGGGAAGCTTGTGGAACTTTTGCTTTGCAGCAAAAACAAATTTAGTGAGGATCACACGACAGAGAACTGTGTTTTTTCTGCTTGTATTTATTTGTACACTTGTTCCTGGTGCTGGCTGGCACAGCCTGAGCCACAGAACTCCAGCCTATTACTCAGAGGGGTTTTTTTCCCTCTCCCCACCCACAGACAGCTGGGAACTGAAATGAAATGTCTTCCTTTTCTGCTGTCAGCCTGATAGAGGATGTTTCTCGTGTTCATGGAATCAGCACCATGGTCAGAAATTTCCCTCATTCCTTTCGAGAGACCGTGCTGGTGTTTTCCTATGGCAGCAGGTTTGAAATGACACAGCACTTCTGTGTCCTGCAGCTTCCTTCTTTTTATTATTATATATTTTTTGTGACTACACAGGGAAAGAAGTGGGTTCATCAATATACACATTTGGAGGAAAAGACCCAACAGTCTCCAGGCTGCAGTGGTGAGCTTTGACCTTCTGCAGCTTCCAAGGGTTGATTTAATCCCTTGAATGAGGCTTGGCGTGGAAAGGCTGACAGGACCTTAATTACAGGGTCATGATACTATAATTACCAATAGTAAAGTGAAATAAACTCTGCTCATCTAGCTCAAACTGCTTAATAACCACCAGAAATCCTTCACAAATCATTTTACCTCTGCCTGCAGAGGTAGAAAATAGAGGAAGACAGGACTTTCTGCTTCAGTTTGTGTGGTGCAGTCGTGATAAATGGGTTTCCTCCAGAAACACAACATTACAATTCTCTTCCTTAAGCATCCTCTGAAAACCTCCTTTTTAACTTGGTAGCTCCATCTGTTCAGCATCTTACCCTCTGATATGTTTTCATCCATAAAAAAGTGCAAATATTGTGAGAAGCCAGTGGGGAGAGGGAACAGCCATCTGAATCCCAAGCAACAGCGTGTCTTGGTTGGATACCAAAGGCAGAAATTGAAGCTGGATTTTGGTTTCCAGGCTGCAGATGATCATTGGGTACCAGGTGTTTTCACACAGACTGCTCCGAGCCTGGCAGGGGAGTGTTTTTTGTGCTCCACGAGATGCTTTTTCTTGTCAAGTGTTATTAGCTGGAGTTAAAGCTCAGTGTCTGAGCCCTGCAAGGACGCTGCAGATGTGTTTTCCTTCCTGCGGGCTGCTTTCCATCATCTCTGCGATGCTTGACTTCTGAATTCAGGAAAAAAACCAGCCACACAAAAAAACTTTCACCAGGTGAAAGAGGAAGAGAAACACCTTAAACTCATTGTTCAGTGAGTGCATTCCCTTTTTAAAACCATTTTTAGAACAAGCCTTTGTTACATCCCTTGCAGTCAGAGCACAGGACATGAGCATTCATTTGGCTGCTGGCAGCTTTGGAGAGGACACCACTGAGGGCACAGCGTGTCTGGGCTCTGGACTGCTGCTGCCACATCTCCAAGGGAGCATCCAGCCACTGCAATTCCATGGCATCAGCTGAGCTGGGGCTCCTGGCCAAAAACAAAACCAGGAGCAGTTGCATAAAACCAGGGCTGCACAAGCTGGTCCTTGCACAAGTGGGAGAAAAAGCAGTTTTGGAAAGAGCAGTGGAAAAGCTTTTGGAAAAGTAGCTTTGCTTGGTCTCTTGCTCCCAGAATGTTTCTTCCCTCCCCAGCCCTTCCAAAGCTGCTGTAGAATATGCACATGGTAACGTTTTTCTCAAGCTGAACAGTGAGTGTCCCCACCCTGGAAAGATGAGGAGGGATCCACGTGCTGAAAATGTAAATTTAACTTTTGCTTTTTCTGCACAGTGCCTTGTCTGGATGCCTTTATTGATTTTTTTATTATTATTATTATTGCTTGAACTTTAATGAAAAAGAATTGAAAGAATCCTGTGTGAGTCCCTTTTAATAGTTCCAGATTTGAAAAAATATTCTGAACTCAGCAAGCTTGATCGTAATCTTCCAAAGAATTTCAAGCTCTTGTCCTTCTCTCCAGGGAACCAACAGCTCATATTCTGTTCCTTCTGTGCCTTTCTTTCTGAATTTTCCAGTTTCAGCATGTAAAAATGTTAGAAAGAGAAGAGGGTGCCATTTTAAGCCTGTACAAGTTTGTCCTTAATAGCATTAGATTGCCGTTCAGCAGTACATAGTATTAGTCAAGCTTCTGACTATGAAATGAAGATAATTAATTGAAGTTTTAATCTCTGGTTTTTTAGTGAAAAGATGCACACTGGCTGGAAGTTTTACAATCATATTTGTATTTTCTTCTCCAGGAATCTGACTCCCTTTTTTTTTAAAGAAAAAATAAAAAAGAAACATTTTCCTCTTTGAAGGCTTTCAAATGAAATCTTCAGGCTGGCTTAAATAAATGCTATGTTTTACCCACAGTTAGAGGCATACACACTTGGAAGTGGCTCAAAACATTTGACAAAATGTAGCATTAGTTGAAATATTCTGTCTCTGGTAAAGATCAGGAGCACTGTAGAAATGGGATATTCTCAGCCTTTGGGCTATCACATCACTTGCTGCCAAGTTCTTTTTGCTTTAGTTTGGCTGATCTGTCAAAAGCACAGAAATGCAGTTAGCAGGTCTCTGATCAGAGTTTTAGCCAGAGTTTCTCCTCAGCTCCTTTTCTGCTCAAAGCCAGTCTCCCTGTTGGAGCAGTGGAAATGTTGGTGGTGACTTGATGGTGCTGTTAATTATTTTCATGGAAAGAAAATAAGGAGTAGTAAAGAGCCCTAACAAAGGGCCTCTTAATCTTGAAAGGAGCAGCAATTATTGGCTGGAAATGAAAGCCACACTTCACTGTAGAACAAAGGGATTAAATTCCAATACACAGGCTAATGAATTGTTGCAGCAGTCAAACCAGGGAAGCAGATCCTTCACCTCTTCAACATTCTAGATGAACGGATGCATCTTCCCCTAGAAGACATCCTATAATTGGTTGTAATCTAGAGGGAAATGAGCAGGATTGTGTGTATAAAACATGAGAAGAGATGTTCTAATAGTACCCTTGACCTTCTGAAGTGCAGGGATGAATAGTCTGCCTGCACAAGCTTTTCCAGCCCTACTCCCACCAGGGAAGTTCCTTTGCCATTAGGATATGTCTCTGTCAGAAAAGACCACAGTGGATAAGAAGCAGATGCTGCCTGATCTCCCAGGTTCCCACTTCTACCACCATGGCAGAAATGCCCCTTCTTCCATGTCAGTCCTTCCTCTCAGGAGTGGATGTCCTGAGGGTTAAGGTGGGATGGGTTCCTTCCCTCTCCCCAGTACTTCAGCCTGAGTTAACAGCAGCACATTTCCTTTTGCAATGTGAGGTCCTCATATCTTTACACCCAGCTTACAACTGGATGTTTTTCCTTTTGTTCTCAACTGCAGTTAAACAGGCCTTTCTTGAAAAGAATTTCCTTTGGGGTCTCACTAGAACACCGACTCCTGCAAAAGAAAGGAGTTAACTTTCCAGCTGGCCTTTGTCTGTCTGGTATTTGCTAGAAGTTTTTGTGCCCTAGGAGGATTGGCAAGAGGGCTTTCACCTGGGGAAATGCTGGAAGAGAAGGAGTTCTGCATTGTCTGTTGCCCAGCACTGCCAAGAGGGAGAAACAACACTGGCAATCCCACACATCCAAACTCTTCCATTAGCATGCGGACCCAGCACCGCTGCTTTGTTGGGCCTCATCAGCACGCAGCTCACATCCTCCCTTTCCCCTAAAGCACCAGCAGAGCTCAAAGGAAATTATTAAAAACACCTTGTATGAGATGAAAGTTCTGATTAGCTTTTGTTTCAGGTGCAAAACCCGCTCCTGGGATCTGCTTTGAGAGAGTCAATTCTGCCGGAGATCCTTACGGCAACTGCGGGAAAGACTCCAAGAGCTCCTTTGCCAAATGTGAACCCAGGTAGGGCCTCTCCCTGCAAACTCAGCAACAGGTGCTGGGAGAGGGCTTGGAATATGGAAAATGCTTCACCTTATCTTTGGTTGTGTTTATTTCCATCAGGGATGCGAAGTGTGGAAAAATCCAGTGTCAAGGAGGAGCAAACCGACCTATAATTGGTACCAATGCTGTTTCCATAGAAACCAACATCCCACTTCAGGAGGGTGGCAAGATCCTGTGCCGTGGCACCCACGTGTACCTGGGGGATGATATGCCCGACCCTGGGCTCGTGCTGGCAGGAACCAAGTGTGAAGATGGAAAAGTAAGATTCTGGAATACTCCCAGACAAGGGGAACATCACTACCATCATTCTGCCAAGTGTTTTGTACTTCTTTTCTCTTTGGGTTTTTTTTTTCTTTTCCCCCCACAAAATAATTGCTTCTCATGCTCAGACTGAGACAAATTTTACTCCCTTCTGGCCACTGTTCCAGATAACAGATTTTCAGATGCAAATCTGGGCAACCTGATCTAGTGGAAGGTGTCCCTGGCCATGGCAGGGGGTTGGAAATAGAGGAGCTTTAAAGTCCCTTCCAACCCAAACCATCCAGGGATTCTGTGCAATGCAAGTTGCTTAAGTTTATGACTGATTTTTTTGAAGACGGTCCCAAGTATCTGTCCATGGAGGCTTGAGGTTTTCTGCAAAATAAGTACAGCAAAATACATTACAGGCTTATTCATGAATTCCTGAGTTCAATGTATTCCCTTTCCCAGCATCTCTGGCATTGCAAAATTGTCATTAACTTCAATTTAGGTTTCAAAATGTATTTTATCTTCTGATTATGCCTCCCCACTTCTTTTTTTTTCATGCAGGAAAACGTATCTCTGTATGCACTCTTAGAAAACTATAAACCCATTGATGCTCAGCCACCAAAACAGATTTTTGCAATTGTGTTTTGCAAACTTTGTGAATTACCCACTGTGAATGCAGCCCAGATTTCACATGGCTGCCTCATTCTAAGTTTTTCTTTCGTGAGGAAAGCAACTGAGAAAGATGGGAGGCAGCCATGAGTTTACAGGGGGAGGAGGAATGGAAAGCAGTCCAAAAGCTATTGAAATGAAGGAGGTTTCCATACCCTCAGTGGATTGCTTGCAAAAAGGAGGAAAAACAAGTGCTTTGATAATTTGTGGTAAATTCAAGTAAGCCTCTGAATTTCTGAATGCTTTTGAATTATGTTGGATTATCTTACTGTGCTGGGAACAGGTTTGAAATCCATCCCCAGTGAAACCACAGCTCTGCTACAGGAAAACAACCCTTACAACATTTCTAAGTCAATCTGTTATAAAAAGTCTTTTCAAAGGCAACTCAGCGCTGAGAAAGCACCCCATTATGTTTTACTAATGAGTATTTAATCTTTCTAATCTATCTAATCATACACATCCACACTATAGAATACACAGGCTAATACTTCTGAAATTGTATGTTTTACTTTGAGGACATTAGTGCATTTGTATTATGGATTAAGAATATGAATTTAAATATTCTTGGGTTTTCTCAACTGGAGATGCTCAATTTGAAACGCAGCCATTTTAATGTGATCAGAATTCTGGGAGCTGCTGCTCTGTGAATATTTGAATTGTGAATAGTGCTGTAATCAGACCATATTCTCTCCATGCCTGCATGTTGATGCCAATTCACTCTAATTTCCTTTCCATTTTTCCTTCTCCCCAGGGGATAAGTGCCCTGATTAAGCATCCCTGTCGCCTCCTTCAGCACTATTCCCAGCTTAATGCTAATTATTGTGACTGACTTTTAGTACTACTGAACTGCACTGCAGTTTAACATGAGCAAAAATGTGCAGTGTGGGGCTTTTTGACCTTTTTGTTGTCAGCATAGCATAGGAACAGTTATCCCAGTCCTAATTTCTTCTTTTTCCGGTTTGGAGTAGGGTAACTTCTCGTTACTGACGTGCTCATCAGTTGTGTGGTTGTTTGATGTTATTATTACTCGGCACTAATCTTGCTTAACCTCAATTTTCAGCTCCACTGACAAAGTAAAGTTTATCTGCAATGACTGGAAAAGAAAAAAAAAATTGAATTTCATTCCTATGCATATGCTATTTGTTTACTTCCATTCCCTATAAATATTAAATGTTAAATAGGGTTGGTTTCTACTTGACACCCAAAAAAAATGGTTTAATTTGGAAAAACTTCGAAAGCTCTTGATTTTCCTGGAAAACAATGGTGAGCCCATAAAAATCAATGAGCCCACTTAAATATTCACCTACCCTGGGTTCAGGTTCTGTACTGGAATGAAAAATATTTCTCTGTTGAAATATGTCTGATGATTTACACCATGAGGATCCAAAGCTTTGCTTGAGGAATCATCTGCTGCAGTGAAGACAGGAAGGCAAACAGAGCGGGAACCTGAAGGAATCCTGCTCAGTGCACTCCTAGTCCTGAAAAAAAATGCAAATTACTGATTTTTAAATTGGCTTAAAAACCTCCCAAACCCCAAGGCCTCCCCACTGGTTCCACTTGAGTGGAGCTGTGAGGGTTTGCTTGCACAAGCTCAGCATATCAATGCTATGAACTGTGTGTGAAACCAGGGCTGGCCAGGAGAGCAGAATTCAACGTGCTCAGATTTGGATTTCAAAGACTTAGAAAGAGCTGAGGAAAAGAAGACACCCAGTCCTGATGCCCTTTGTGTCAATATAATTATATATATTTGCAAGTTGAGAAATATTTAACTGCTGAAAGAAGGGATATGATGCCCTGGGAGCCCCAGCAGTTCTGTCCCTGTTAAAACTAATTTATTTTTTATTTTGCAGATTTGCCTGAACCGGCGGTGCCAGAACACCAGTGTTTTTGGAGTCCATAAATGTGCCACCAAGTGCCATGGACGTGGGGTAAGCATCCCAGGGAAACATTCTTTTACAATCACTCAATAACCACTGGACAAGAAATCACTTTCTGTAATGGCTTTGAGATCTATAATTGCCTGCAATAGATCAGAGCCACTGCAATACATTTTTATTACATATTTCCATTTTCACTGTCCCTTACATGAAATCGGTTTTATTTGACAAAGAAATGTTTATCAGGCAGTAATTATCTTGATCTTAATTGACAGCCTGTGATACAAAGGAATCTTGTAATCCTCAAAGCAAATTGAAGCCTAACCCTCCATCGTGAAGAATTCCCATTAAAAATCAAAATGCAGTTTCTCCATAGTTACAAAGAAGTTAAATTCTTTGAATTGAGCATTGGAAGCATTTGGATTGAGAGGCAAATGAAACAGCATTTCCAAAAACATTAAAATAAAGTAAAACCCTATTGATGAGTTTTGTGGCATGAAAGTGGCACAGAATGAAAAATGTGATGATATCATTTATTAATATCAATGGTTTGAAACCCACTTTATATTATGATAATGTTAATTATGTCAAGCTTTGCCTTATTAACCTTGATGTGCTTATGAGCTATTTGTTTCTCTGAAAAGCTGTGGCAGCCACATTGGAAGAGCCATAGAAATTCACTGTCCTCTCTGAGGAAGGATTTTAATTTGCTTTAACTTATTTTATCACCTTGAATTTGCAAAACTGAGCAGTGTTGGTGGTGTTGCCTCTTAATCATTGAGTTGGAATGAGCAGAGGTTTGGAGTGGCATTTTTTATGTCTGTACAAACAAGAACCACTGGTGGCAAAACTGACCTGGTGGAATTGTAAATGGGAATTCCTGCAGTGCTTTAATTTAAAAAATAATGCTTAACAAAGTATATTTTTAATTATCTTGCTGTCTTTGAAAAGTAATTTTTTAATTTTTTTTTTATTTTACGTGACCATAGCCAATCTGAGCTCTCTGAATATTTTAGTGCTCTGCAGACACAGTGTTTCTGAAAGCCTTCCAAGCTGACCTGGCCAGAATATTGCATGTTCAGAATAACCCAACACCTGTGAAGTGATTTGTATCTTACTGAAATCTCATTTATTAATCTGTGCTGTGGGTTCTCTGTGGTGGTGGCTGGTTGGTGGTGGTTTGGGTTAGCACAGAGTTAAGGATCTTATTGACAACAAGCCTTCAGCCCAAAATCTTTATTTACAAATTGATTTGAGCACCTAAATGTGACATCAAATCCTGGGGTCAGTTTGGGGCCCCCTAGGACAAGACATTGAGGGGCTGGAGCGTGTCCAGGGCAGGGAATAGAGCTGGGAAGGGGCTGGAGAATTCCTGAGGAGCTGGGAAGGGGCTGGAGAATTCCTGAGGGAGCTGGGAAGGGGCTGGAGAATTCCTGAGGGAGCTGGGAAGGGGCTGGAGAATTCCTGAGGG